AAAAAAAAATCAGTGAGTCATTAATCTAATTAAAACCACTTTATTTTAATTTTTAATTCACTAACAGTGTTGTTTTGATAATATTGAATAAGTAAAAATTTCATACAAGAAAATTTATGTTTACTATAGATCATAAGCTCTTGTGTCTGTCATGCTTCTACTTCTTCTAGACCCAAATTGGTTTCATCCTCTATGGTTAGACCTCTCATCAGTCAACTGAGTTCTTGTTCCCCTTTAAACCCTGTAATAATGGCATGACAACACAGTTTATATTAATTGATAAAGAGTTATACAAACCAAACACCTCCAAAAACTAACAATTTCCCTTCGGTAACACACACAACAACCCCCTGTAAAAACTCACCTCCCTCCACCTATCTAACCCCCAGACCTGTGCTTTCATTTCATTCAAATACATGTAGACACTGAAGTCACAGTTCTAGTTGTTGGATGAATTGGATTTTGGGAAAATGAAGTCTTGGTTTTAATTATCAGACAGGATATTAATTTTCAAATAGCCGGACTTATACAGGCCCGTAGACAAGATTTTTAATGGGGGGGTGCGTTGGAGTGGCGAAGTTTGGATGGAACGAGCGCCAAGGCGCAAGCTACTAAGGGGGTCGGGGGCATGCCCCCCCGGGAAATTTTGAAAGATTTTGTTTGTCTGAGACTGCATTTTGTGCGTTTTGAAGGCAGTATGATATGAAACCAGGCAGCCAAAAGCGAACGTAAAATCATGAATATTTCTGGAACTGTTTGGTTAGAGAAAATATAGATGAAAAAATACTAAAAATACATATTGTGGACCTTCGATTAAAGACATTTTTAAGCCAAAGGAGTGAATATTTGGATGAAGAAAATGACTCGCTTGATGTTGTCTTTGTCGATGAAGACGATATGTAAACACATTCAAAGCTGCGATTGTTTTGGTTTATTGGAACCAGTTAATGATTCAGACTTAATGCATTTCAATCGAATTAGAGCACAAGCACTACTACAGTAAAAACCCGCATAAAAGAACACGTGTTTTGGGGTTCAGGCTGATTTTGTTCTTATATATCGGGTGTTTTCTGGTACTTTTTTGACCAAATTTGACCAAATTTCAGCCTGAGTGTTCTTAATCCACTTGTTCTTTTATGCGGGTTTTTACTGTATTTCACTACTATTTCACTTTCTTTTGAACCGTCGGTCCACTACAGGTGGACCTCCACTGCCCGTGGGGGGGGGGGGGGGGGGGGGGGGGGGGTGCAGACGCACCCATCGCACCCCCTCCCTACGGGCCTGCATATATATTACAGTACTCCAACCAAAGCCAAAATTCTGTACAAATTAGCGAATGAAACCTCGGATGTTTAATAACAATAGATTTCCCACAAATTATAATGGATCTAAGCAAGCTGCATGCTATAAATTACAGGTTAAAGGCTTAGCCTTTACGAGGAAAACCAACTAGACATAAATAAATTTCGTGAGCAAGAAGCTCCTTTCTCTTACAGGAGTGGTTGTCAATTGTTCGGTATAAGCTTAGATTTAAGCTTACCTATAATTAATAATAATAAAAAATAATCTCATTATACGTACATTACATTCCTAAAAGTTGCAGTGCGTTAAACCAGGTTCTAAAATAAACAGCAATTGACGATAGCCTTACCCGATATAGTCAAGTCATCAAATGATTCTTCAAGGTCGATCTTCTGCTACAAAGTTCGAATGAATCCTCGCACTGGTCCTTGGCAGCCATAAGTAGCAAAGTATTGCGAATTTCGAACCCTACGCGTATGGTTTTAGCATCTACATTGTCTACAACAAAATACTAGTGAAATCGAGCACTTGCAAAGCTTAAAAACTCGAAAAAATGAGGATTGCCAAGAAAACGACAAAATTGCCAAGAAATCGACACGTTTTCTCGCAGGCGCTTCGCGCCTCTTCTTTCCCCTTCCCATGGTCCCTCGCGCTTCGGGCTCGTGCCCAGTCGCTCGTCCAATCGCAAAAAAACAAATGCGAAGTGCCTGAGGAGGAGGCTGTAATAGAGCGGTTTCACGGCGGCCATTTTGGTATTCCCCATCCTCGTTCCCAGAGCTCCTCTTTTTTTTCTTTGCGCCGGAATCGAAACGTAGCCTCCGTTCGCCAACCACGTAACCAAAAGAAACAGAGGGTCTGGGAACGAGAATGGGTATTCCCAGACAACTTACGAAATGTTTGAATAAGAAAAGAAACTAATAATAATAATAATAATCGAATATTTATGCAGGATGGACCCCTTCAAGTACAACAGCACTGTTATCAACGGGGTTCCTGCTAACTCATTTCCCAAAGCAAAGAAATTTCGTTGTTTGGAAAAGTACCCCAATATGGTCGCCGTTACTTCATGTGAAAAGGCACTATAGAATGAATCCCGCGTGGGTTTCTAAATCTTGGTGCTCCCTTTTTGATAATCCCTTGATAATCCCTCCCCCCCCCCCCCCCCGATTTCTTGCACAGAAGCCCATAGTAAGCTCAGCGGTGCACTGGTGTATTCGACTCACCCATCGCAGAAACATCCGATGGAAAAAATCCAAATATTTGTTAGTTTTTCTGTCCAAGCCGAATATCAAAATTAATTTGCCGAACTGAACATCTACTGAAAGTTTTAGCACCTCCTTTCCAAAATCGAGGGTTAAGCTGCGATTGTTAACGTAGAAATCATAAACATACATTCGGCCTACTTGCATTCGCTTTCAGTTTCAGATTCAGTTTTCACATTTTTTATCATTGCACATTAGTTACAAAAGATTAGATGCATAAAATATAGGAATATAATTCATTATACATGTACATAAATATAGAAAACAAAAGCAGTTATAAAGTCAAAAATACAAAATATTTACACAAAGACCAAAGTAGCTTACGTTTCATTCAAGAGAATGATATAAATGTCACTGTATGCGAGAGATTTTGTGCGCATAGGGCAAAATAATTGTTAACTAAGGTCGAAAAACACCAAAATGGTGATACTGAAGAAGCGGCATTAAGGCCGGGGACAATTAGTCGACCGGTCGCAGTGACAGGTCTCTGCGACCTGTCGCCTAGTGTGCACTGCATCGGCGACAGTGATAATTTGTGTAATTTTGTCGCTGCGACCTGACGCACGAATTCAAAACAGTTTGAATTTGTGCGTTCAGTCGCGGCATAGTTAATAGAGAGAAATGGTTATGAAGCCCGGCAAACTTCAAAGGAGCAAACAAAGAGGCCAAGATTTATGTTGGAAGGTCCATGACCGTGCACATCTTTTGTTTTGCGCTCATACCCTATGCATGAATTACGTAATCGAAACGTTTCTATTGGTTAGTTGCTTGAACACACGTAACCAGCTATTGTATTTTGTCAGGTTTTGTGCTTTTGTTCTTTGTGCACTTTATTTTTAATGAATTCACATTCTTTCGTGCACGTATACTATCCAATTACAAGTCTAGGATATCTATTATTCGGCTTCTGATTGGATAGCCTTCACGCACGAAAGAATGTGAATTAATTAAAAGTGGTCACACTTTTGGGAGCCTTGCTGCAAAGATGTCACTCAAGACTTGTCTGACACTGGAATTAATATTAATGTTTATTATATATGCAAGAATGCCTGCAAGAATGTATATATCAGCCAGCATTTGGCTTCCGTCACATTAACCGACGGTTAGGCGGACGCATGTTTATGAATAATCACTAAGGATGTAATTAAGCTAGTATGGGAGTTGCTTACTCCGGGTAATGAGCTCCTAAGTGGGGAAAAATTAATTATGATCCAAGTTAATTTATGACATTATTTATTTGGAACATTTTTCTTCATTTATCGTATTTATCTTATGACTTCTAACAAGAGAGGATGATCTAAGAGAAGGATTCCCCGTGCCCCATGGTATATTTTTTTGAAAGTTTACTTATTTTTATTTCCTTCTGATCGAGGCTCCGACATCACGTTACTCGAACTGACCAATCAGGTAGTACTCTTAAAATAGCTCAGTCTATGGACTGAAAGTTTAGGAATAGATTTCAAAAAACTATCATTGGAAGGGACGCATGTATAGGGGAATGCTTATCTTAGATAATCCTTTCTTGCTTCTAACGAAGTAAAGTAAAATTAAGCTTATTGTATTCTCTATTGTGTTGTTTTCATTTTATCTTTTCATTTATGATATGAGCAATGGAAACTAAATTGTGTATTAGCATGACAAATGTTTCATTTTGTTGATTATATAGATGTTATTGAGCTACAATGAGTTGCAAAATGGTTGAGACACTCTCTTCAAAAAACAGAATTTCATTCCAAAAGCATGTCTTCGTTTGAAAAATAAACCAAATAATTTCATTTCTAAGGCTCCAACATCACGTTACTCGAACTGACCAATCAGGTAGCTCAAGTATGGGACTGAAAGTTAAAAATAATAAATTTCAAAATATTATAATTGGAAGAGTCCCATATATGGAGGAATGCTTCTCTTAGATCATCCTCACTAGTTGGTGTCCATTAAGCGAGAGTTCGCTGTAAGTATCTATGTAAAAACCCTGGTGCAGCATGTAGAATTGTTTTCAGTGTGACTCTTGGTAACTGAAGTATCGTTGAAGCAAGTTCACTACTGATTGAAACACGTGCGGCTTGAAATGAACAGCATCGTAAGGTTTTCTAGGCAGCCCAGTCCCCTCCGGATATGAGTCACTGATGAGGAATACGTCCAACACGTCGATGCCAGCTCTACACATGGCGTGCATGGCGTACGCGTTAAACAACAGGACACGCTACGGAGAGAAGAGGAGGACATATCTTAGTTATCTCTAGTATATAAATGATGCCACCTCTCTTTCTAAGTCGCCTTTTAACCCGTCTCTAGTAGCCTTGCCACAAGTCGACTTCTACCTGTCTCTCCTCCAACACGGATCTCTTTCCGAAAGCCTATGACTGACATAAACAGATAACAGAGGCAAAAACACGAACATAAATACTGTAGCAAACCAGTCAGAAGCCTACGAAATAAACAGGACAGGGCTCGAACCCAGACCACTCGATCCAGAATCCAACGCGCGTAACCATTAAGCCACCGCGCCTTACAAACTTGAATATGTGGTAAATTGAATGTGTTCGTTATGACTTCCTGTTGGTTTTCCAAACATCTCAACAAATCAAAGAGCAAACAATCGCACGTGCTATTTATCGCAGTACTGTAACTGGTTTCCGTTTGACCAAACAGTGATGCAACATCAATCAAACAATTTATCAATTAAGAGGCAGTTTAAAGAGTAGATCCGATTTCCAGTTTGATTGAACAGATGTCAATAACAGACTCGCGGTTCGTCTTACCTGATACGTTAAAAATCTGATGCTCGTTGAATAATACAGAGTATCTATGAGCTAGAGTTCAAACAGAGTTCAAACAGGGCTTTTTTCAAGGCTGCCGTAAGTAGAGCTGTCCGCTTACGAGAGAGTCCGCTCAGAGAGATTCGACTGTATATATAAATGCCACCAAATACCCCGCAAGCAGTATGTAGTCAGTATTAATTTTAAAAGCTTAAAACTGAATGCATGATGTGTTATTAAACCTGCAGGATTGGATGGCTTCTAAAGTAATATAAATTGCACAACTTTCTCCAGATTGACTATATATATAGCCAATGACGCATATTAATTTTTATGTTTGATTTATGTTTTTTTCGTCCTCGGTCTTCCGGAACCTCACTGAAGTCAACTTCCGGCTGAAAAAATAAGCGTCTCACACGACGCTTATTGAGAGAGATAGTTCAAACAGAACCGACAAATATTACGAACAACAATTTGTGTTGGAAGGGCAATCGACATGCGTCAGTAGCAGGTGTATAGACCAAATTTATTTAATTCTCAGAAAAGTTTGTCATTTTCGTATCTTGTATGTCATTGTGTTAAACGCCTGAATCATTTAACGTCAAATTGTTGAACATGTTCCCAAGCAATATACGACTTCATCCGATAGTTTGACAGATAATTGTCGTTAAAACGTTTACGACTGGCTGCGTATATACGTAGAACAATGAATAAAATCCCACGCGTATAGGTCCATAATCAATCTGTTAAAACATCGAATTCGGGGTGGATTTTAAAATTTACTGCATTTTCCCATTTATTGCATCTCCAAACAAGTACAGCTTCGATTGTGTCATCTCAAAGTCATCGGTTGCTTTGTTTTCCTATAGACTTCAAACTGGTGAAACTGGAATACTGCCATCTAATACGCGCACATTGCCGAGTGTCCCTTTGTCCTTATACGGTAAACTGACGCAGTCTATGTAAGTTAAACAACTAATTAACTTCCTTATCTTTTAGTTCTTCCTAAAAGCTTTGCATATTTAATTTCCCTTTCAGAACTCTCGGCTGTAAAGTGCCTCGCTAATGTGAATAACAGAAAGAAACAGCATCAAATAACCTTTCAAAATGGAAAATTTGGATTCTAACAACTCTAGCTCTCCTGACGGAATATCGAGTGTAACAAACGACACTTCACAACCGAAATCCAGCTTAGCTCCAGTGGGTTCCATCCCCAGACACTCGGCACAAGAGACGCTTGCTTTTGTAATTATCTACATAGTTCTCTCATTGCTGGTAATCCTGGGTAACTCTCTCGTTATCATTGCCTTCACAAGAAACAGCAAGCTGCGAACGGCGACGAATCTCTTCTTCGTAAGCTTGGCTGTTTCAGATCTATTCGTGGGTGCTATCTCGATCCCATGCTGGATGTATATTTTGTTGTACGATTTGAACCATCCCTCACCAGTGCCCAGTGCGTTTAACCTTCAGTTCCGCCAAGTCTACACCTTCCTCGATGTCTCCAGTGCCTTGATCTCCATCGCGCATCTTACAGTCATCAGCATCGAGCGAAACATCGCCATTTCGAAACCACTGAGACATCGTGTTATGCCTCGGTGGTACTACTACGCCGCAATCGCTGGCACATGGGTGTACGGTCTGTCGATTGCGGGCATCTTCCTGAGCGATTTCAAACATGTCATGTGGCGGAAATATCGAGGGTTACTGAACACCATCGCGGGCTTTATTCTACCACTGTTGATCATAATCTGCATGTACGCCAACATTTACAAGAACGTGAGATTGTTCAACATTCGCCGGCGCTCGTACTCCATAAGCTCACTGCAAAGGAAGGCACACCACGAGAGGACAACGGCAAAGACCGTGCTGATAGTCACAAGCTTTTTCGTTGCAGCATGGCTTCCGTTTTTCACGTTATCAATGTTGTTCATGTTCTGCCCGCGGGAGCATCTTCCACAAGGGATGGCTTTGTTGCACCTGTTGGATTTTGTGAAGCTTCTTCATTACAGTAACAGCGTTATTAATCCTGTGGTGTACTCCTATCGCATCTTAGAAGTGAGGAACACGTTGATGCGGATTGTCGCCCCGTGTCTCGTCCAGACGCCTATCTCGTCAGCGCGCTCTCTGCCCATTCCACTAGCAGTTCAAAGGTCACCATGTATCCGTACGAATTTACTCCATTCCTTCTCACGAGGTCGAGGCGTGGGCTCCAATTGCAACCACCAGGATGTGAATGTGTAATAGAGCGGTTCTCACGGGGGCCATATTGGTATCCCCATCCATCCTCGTTCCCAGAGCTCCTCGTTTTTATTTATTTGCGCGGGAAACGTAGCCACCGTTCGCCGACCACGTGACCAAAAGAAACAGAGGATCTGGGAACGAGAATGGGTATTCCCAGACAACTTACGAAATGTTTGAATAAGAAAAGAACTCATTTCCCAAAGCAGAGAAATTTCGTTGTTTGGAACAGTACCCCAATATGGCCGCCGTTACTTCATGTGAAAAGGCACTATAGAGTGAATCCCGCGTGGGTTTCTAAATCTTGGTGCTCCCTTTTTGATAATCCCTTGATAATCCTTCCCCCCCCCCCCCCCGATTTCTTGCACAGAAGCCCATGGTAAACTCAGCGGTGCACTGGTGTATTCGACTCACCCATCGCAGAAACATCCGATGGAAAAATCCAAATATTTGTTAGTTTTTTCTGTCCAAGCCGAATATCAAAATTAATTTGCCGAACTGAACATCTACTGAAAGTTTTAGCACCTCCTTTCCAAAATCGAGGGTTAAGCTGCGATTGTTCACGTGGAAATTCTGAACATACATTCGGCCTACTTGCATTCGCTTTCAGTTTCAGATTCAGTTTTCACATTTTTTATCATTGCACATTAGTTACAAAAGATTAGATGCATAAAATATAGGAACATAATTCATTATACATGTACATAAATATAGAAAACAAAAGCAGTTATAAAGTCATAATACAAAATATTTACACAGAGACCAAAGTAGCTTACGTTTCATTCAAGAGAATGATATAAATGTCTCTGTATGCGAGAGATTTTGTGCGCATAGGGCAAAATAATTGTTAACTAAGGTCGAAAAACACCAAAATGGTGATACTGAAGAAGCCGGGACAATTAGGCGACCGGTCGCAGTGACAGGTGTCTGCGACCTGTCGCCTAGTGTGCACTGCATCGGCGACAGTGATAATTTGTGTAATTTTGTCGCTGCGACCTGACGCACGAATTCAAAACAGTTTGAATTTGTGCGACCAGTCGCGGCATAGTTAATAGAGGGAAATGGTTATGAAGCCCGGCAAACTTCAAAGGAGCAAACAAAGAGGCCAAGATTTATGTTGGAAGGTCCATGACCGTGCACATCTTTTGTTTTGCGCTCATACACTATGCATGAATTACGTAATCGAAACGTTTCTATTGGTTAGTTGCTTGAACACACGTAACCAGCTATTGTATTTTGTCAGGTTTTGTGCTTTTGTGCTTTGTGCACTTTATTTTTAATGAATTCACATTCTTTCGTGCACGTATACTATCCAATTACAAGTCTAGGATATCTATTATTCGGCTTCTGATTGGCGATAGCCTTCACGCACGAAAGAATGTGAATTAATTAAAAGTGGTCACACTTTTGGGCGCCTTGCTGCAAAGATGTCACTCAAGACTTGTCTGACACTGGAATTAATATTAATGTTTATTACATATGCAAGAATGCCTGCAAGAATGTATATATCAGCATTTGGCTTCCGTCACATTACCGACGGTTAGGCGGACGCATGTTTATGAATAATCACTAAGGATGTAATTAAGCTAGTATGGGAGTTGCTTACTCCGGGTAATGAGCTCCTAAGTGGGGACAAATTAATTATGATCCAAGTTAATTTATGACATTATTGATTTGGAACATTTTTCTTTCATTGATCGTATTTATCTTATGACTTCTAACAAGAGAGGATGATCTAAGAGAAGGATTCCCCGTGCCTCATGGTATATTTTTTTGAAAGTTTACTTATTTTTATTTCCTTCTGATCGAGGCTCCGACATCACGTTACTCGAACTGACCAATCAGGTAGCACTCTTAAAATAGCTCAGTCTATGGACTGAAAAGTTAGGAATAGATTTCAAAAAACTATCATTGGAAGGGACGCATGTATAGGGGAATGTTTATCTTAGATAATCCTTTCTTGCTTCTAACGAAGTAAAGTAAAATTAAGCTTATTGTATTCTCTATTGTCGTTGTTTTCATTTTATCTTTTCATTTATGATATGAGCAATGAAAACTAAATTGTGTATTAGCATGACAAATGTTTCATTTTGTTGATTATATAGATGTTATTGAACTACAATGGGTTGCAAAATGGTTGAGACACTTTCTTCAAAAACAGAATTTCATTCCAAAAGCATGTCTTCGTTTGAAAAATAAACAAATAATTTCATTTCTAAGGCTCCAACATCACGTTACTCGAACTGACCAATCAGGTAGCTCAAGTATGGACTGAAAGTTAAAAATAATAAATTTCAAAATATTATAATTGGAAGAGTCCCATATATGGGGGAATGCTTCTCTTAGATCATCCTCACTAGTTGGTGTCCATTAAGCGAGAGTTCGCTGTAAGTATCTATGTAAATTAAACCCTGGTACAGCATGTAGAATTGTTTTCAGTGTGACTCTTGGTAACTGAAGTATCGTTGAAGCAAGTTCACTCCTGATTGAAACACGTGCGGCTTGAAATGAAC